GAGCTGGTTTTTTTTCCCCTAAATGAAAAAGAGACTATCAAACAGGCCTGTAGTAAACAAAATGGCTACTAAGTTACTCCTCTGGTTCTCTTTCCTAAACCTACACAAAATTATTAGAATGGATTCAGAGAATAATTTCACTGTTCAGTCAGGTTTTAACTTGGGCAAAACTCCTAAATGGAGAAATAGCATGAAAATATAGGATTGACAGCTATTCGGCCAATCTAGACAACGAAACCACAGTGCAAAATACCTCACCCCGAAGTCAGTGCAAAATACCTCACCCCGAAGGCTTCTGTTATAGAGTTGGAGCTAGTTTTGGTTCTTATTCTTCAGACTACTCGTTTAAAAAAATAAATAAATGCATCCAAATAAATCATGACATTGAGAAACACATTCAACACTTGAAAGCTAAATGAGGAACAAAAATAAAACCCAAAGGTCCTCAAAGCAGCATCATAAACACCATATTTTGGACTTCCAGGGAGATATGTTATTAGGACCACTTAAAGGAATGCTTTCATTCCAGGGTTCCGAGTAGCCACCCTAGACGGCCACAGGTTAGTTCAGGTGAAGTACACACCACTCTCCTTTACTAGAATACCTGTTTTTACCTGGTGAAGGCTACTAAAGTGGACTGGGAGCCTGCTTTTAACCAGAGGTCCATGAATGAACTCTGCAGCCAGTCTAACTTGGCCGGAGCGCTCCCAGCCTGCCCCATTCAGGTCTGCAACTGAGAATTGTCACCACCTACATGCACTGTCCTACGAAAGGCGTGCCACTACAACTGCAGTCTCCTGCACTGAACCCCTGCGGTGTTCCTCTTGTAACTGCACTGGGGCATGCAAAAACCTTCCATCAGGTTAGACATCCACTCTAACCAGTGTTGTCATGGAGAAAAACAGATGGCAACATGACGATGGGTTTCAGACTAGCCTCTCAACAACAGACAGTAATCAAGTTATAGAATGGCTTCTTTCTTCCTTGGAATTTCCATTCTTTAAGCATTACCGTTACCATTCCCAAAGGCACCAAGCGCAGAACATAACACAATGGCTTACCAGTCATGTAACACTGCTCATTAACACCTCCAATGCTGGAATGCACTAGTACTCAATCTGCTCCAAAGGTACAATGTTGTAAGGAGACCATGCCATGTCAAGTATCTGCCACACAAAGCCTAAGTGATGGTGTACTCTTGTAAGCTGAGCTGGAGAATCCCAAACCTGACGCCAGCCTGGGCTAAAATGCAAGACCCTCACTCCAAACAATTAAACGGAATCTTCCACAGAGAAAACATTGCATATCCTGGTGTGTCTCTATTATTTAGTTTTCATTACTGTCAGGTTCAAATTTCTAGCAGGAAAGTAGTAAATAAAATCATTCAGCAAATATTTATCGAACACATTCCTGGTACAGCTGCAGGTTGGAATTTAATAGTGAACAATACAAACAAAACCCTATCGCCATAAGCTTTCAATGTAAAACAGGAAAAAAATCTTCAAATATATACATAATTTGGCTCAGAAGATTAACAATATATATTTTTCCATTTAAGACTGGCCTAAACATAGCCTGTTTTCAAAAGGTAGAATCTAAACAAAAAGTGGTTGTTAAATCTTCCAATCTGATGGTTATGCTCTGCAGAGCAAAGATTTCAAATACATGCAAAATAAGAGCAGGCTACTGGGACAAGAAATATCTTTCATAAATTAAAAAAAATGTGAACACCTACAATTTGAAGCAGACATTCAAAGCCACTAGTTTTAAAAAGATTTAAACAAAAACTAATATTAAATGGTGTGACCTATCTTCCATTAATACAAATATTTAATAAATATTAGTAATTACTAATTACAGGAAACAATATACTTTACATGTAGGAAACAGAGCCAATGAGGTATGCTCCTGTATATTTGTGTAAAATAATTTTCTTTGAGATGTCAAAGAATAAATGAATTTAGATAAGCTACAGACAACAAGAATCCAGAATTTAGTGGTATACTTACAATGATACATTTAAGAATTCATCTTTTGGGGCTGGGGATTTAGCTCAGCGGCATAAGTACCTGCCTTGCAAGCAGGCGGTCATGAGTTCGATCCCCGGTAACCGATAAAAATGAAAAAGACAAAAAAAAAAAAATTCATCTTTTAAGAAACAATGAAAATCAAAGCACCCAAGAACTGAGGAATAATTTTGAGGATATGGGCATAACTGCTGACTATGAAGCAAAATAGCCCAAATTTTACAGCCACCCTTGATTATCTAGTAGGATATCCATCATTTTCCTTTCCTAATGTCTCCATATTGATATATATTAGTAAATACTTCTGTAAACAAATGCAAGAATCCATTTTTATCCTGCCAAGTAAATTCTTTTCCACTACGATCATGTCATCTCATTAAGTAGAAATTACTTTGCAAATAATTTTATATTAAACTGTACTCCAACACAAAGGTGATTCTTCCATTTAAATACACTGATTAAGAATTTTAGCAGATCTCTGAACTGTGAAAGGACATATTCAGTAGTAAGCTGCTCTGGATAGGTGTCATTGAAATAAAAGAACCAGTAAAGACAGTCTATTTTCAAAGCAGTGCATTAGAAATTCCTCAAATGGAATCCCTCTACATCTTTTCTTATTCAAATCAACCCCCATTTCAAATTTCCCTCCTGGACTCAAAAACTTGTGAAATCACATATCCATACACACACAAACCTACTTTTAGCATATGTTATTACTATATAAGCAGTGTAGCTGTTACAAAGTCAACACAACTAGAATGCAAGGGCGTAGTGCTTCCTCCATGACACTCGGGGACTATATTCCTGACAAAAAGCTGCAGTTCTCCAATGCTACTCGTGAATGTAAGTGCTAAATTATTAGGCCACATTTAAGGGACAAGGTTAGGCTCTGTTGAACCTTGCTCAAATACCTGAAGGAAATGCCCTAATACCTCAAAGATCAATAATAAAGATCAAAGAAGCTGTCCACAATACCACCACTTGAGCAGTAAAACTGGCTTACTTTACGTTTTTTTTCTTCAGGAAACCATTTCCAAGTTCATTTATAAAAGCACCGTCTGTCGTTTAAATATGCAGTATGTAATTAAAAGTCTATGTATGTGCCTTTCCCTCTCAGACATTTAAACTCAGGCTTCCTGACAAACCCTCTGAGCTCCAACTCCTAGTTGATGAGGCACATAGAGCTGTCACATTTCAGGCAAGGAGGGCTGGTTACAGAGACCTCAAAGACCCTGCCACAGCTAAACAGAAAGGATAAACACTGTAAGCAAGGCAAAACAAAAAGAAACCCAGCTCTTTACAGCATGCTTTTCCTCATATTGAGATACTGGAACACCATGTATGTCTCTTGCCCTATTTTCTTCTCAATCCTGAGAATTCAAAAAACGTTTAATTGCATCTCTTCAACTATCACAAGTAGCACAAAATGGGGGCAGGGGGGTTTATTTTCCAATTGCAGTTTCCCCTTCCCTGGCTTCATTCCTGAAGCCCAGCTCTTTCGTTTACTTAGTTTTCTGTCTTCTGTTCTTGGTAAATATGTGCACATTTATCTAATCAGGTTTCAAAATAAGAACATAAACGATGGCATATGAAGTAACCATTTGCAACTATCCGTGACATTATATTTTGTTCCTGCATGTAAATGATCCAATATGTAAGCAATTCAGCCCCAAAGGCAATTGGTTCCTGGAGCCGGTAGATAAATACTCCAAATAAGAAAGAAAAGGCATGCTTTTTCAGTGCAAACTGACAATACTCTTTTTCTTACAGAAACCTTTGGGAAGCGTGTTTATTACACACACAAATATCTAGAACACAAGTGCAGACATTTTTCAGGCCTGTTACTGCAAAGCTGTTCGGTCTTCCTGCCACAATAGCTCCGAGTTATGTCACGCTGGCTTGTGTGCAAACCCTGATCGCCTGGATCCGAATGTTCTTTCAGAGATAATAATCAATAGAATTCGCATTCGAGAAATGGCATTTTCTTGCTTAGTGTCAAAGCAAACGTTGGGCGGCTTATTTTAAGATTACAGGGAAATTTGTGCCGTCCACTTCCCGTTTTTCTTGTAGCCCAGATTCCAAAGACATTAAAATGTCCGTTTTAAACAAAAGGTTTCTACTGGCTTCCAGGAGAGTAACCAAGAGGCTGCACTGGTTCTCAGCAGGAACTCCTGGGAATAGAGGCCTACATCTGAGTTGCCTTATTAAACAAAAGATGCCCTCACTGTCAACAACCACGAAGCACGGTGATCCCCTATTCCTGATCTTTTATACTGAAAGAATGGTGCAGGCGAGAACACGCCTGTCACCATCTTTGAACAAGTAACTCTTCTGGGGTCCCTCCCTTGAGCGATCTGGCAGCTGGAGAACAGCTCTAGGGTGACACACCCGGGCTTGCCCTCCCCGCCCCGCCCCCAAAACCTAAGCCCCCGTTCTCGGGGAGACGACAACCCGGTTCCCTCCACCCTCCCCGGGGGATCAGTCGCTCACCATTCCCTCCCGACCCCAGAAGGCCTGACAATGGATGCTCACGGCCGTCTCAACAGCAGCCAGCCCTGCTAAGCGCCCCGGCTCTGCCCGCCGCCCTCTGGGCCACCCACAGCTGCCCGCGGCACCACCCCACGGGGCGCCAGCTCGGCGCGGCCGGTTCTAGCCCTCGGCCCACCTTCCCGCCCCCGCGTCTCTCCCCGAAGCGATTAGCCCCGCTGCAGTTTAGCGGATGCAGAGGAGATAATACACAGCCCTGGGGGACCCAAGAAGCACCGCTGCCTCGACCCCTCTGCGCGCGCGCGCGCGCGTGTGTGTATTGTGCGCGCGCGCGAGCAGTGGCCGGGGGCGCGCCCGGGGAGGCCCGGGGTCAGCGGCCCGCACCGGGGAAGGGGCGCGACGGGCAGCGGCCCCCAGCCTCAGGCGGCGCGCGGCGGACGCGGAGGCCCGGCGGGAGGGCGCGGGCGACTGCCCCACCGCACTCACCGAGCAGCAACAGCTTGAGCTCCCGGCGTGCGTCCCGCTTGTCCCTGCGGAGCTGCCGCTCGATCTCGTCGTTGATCCGCCGGGCCTCCTTGGCCTCCTCGCTCAGGCAGCACGCCATGATGGACTCCAGAGTCATGCTTCCCGAGAGCCGCGCCGCAGCCCGCCGGCGCCCCGCTCACACGCGCGCACACCTCCCGCCCTCGCTCCCCCGAGGCAGCGCTGGCCGCGGAGCCCCCGCCGCCCGGGCGCGCGTCCGGGACGAGCTTGGGGAACCGCCGCAGGGGCGGCCGCCCGGGCCGGGACCCCCGGCGGGGCCGGGGCCGGAGGAGCGAACGGGGCGCAGGCGGCGGCCGCGGGCGCCGGCTCGGGGGGGGCGCGCGCGGAGGGGAGGCCGCCGCGTCCGGCCTCGCTCAGACGCCCGCGCCTGCTTCCCGGCGAGCGGCCAGCCGGCCGCCCAGTGTCCCGCGTTGCCGCCGCCGAGGCTGCCCTAGCTGTGCGCCCGGCAGCTCGAGCACATCCACCGGGCGTCCCCGCAGCGAGCGGCCGACGACGACTCCGCCCGGCGCGCCCGGCCCGCGCCTCAGCCTGACACGGCTCGCAGGCGCCCTCGGCCTCCGCGCCCCCCGCGGCTCGCGCGCGCCCCGCCCCCGCCGCGCCCCGCCCGCCTGCGCAGACGCCCACCGGCCCGCCGCCCGGCGCGGAGCAGCTCGCAGCGCCCGCCCCTCGCCGCACACGCGCGCCTGCAGCGGGCGCGGACCGGGCGCGGCGGCGGCGGGAGGAGGAGCGCGGGGGCGGGGGACGGCGGTCGGGGGCGGCTCCGCCCCCCCGGAGGAAGCGGTCTTGGGCTCGGTGTCGCCGCCGCGCGCCTTCGTGCGGCCCTCGCTTGCCTGGCCCGCACCTTGAGGGCCTCCAGGCCTTGGGCGGGCGCCGGGGGCGGGAGCCGCAGGGGCCCGGAGCCGCCGCCGACCTCAGCCGCCTGCCGAGCGGGGTGGGGCGGGAACATGGCGACTCCGGCCCCGCGCGGCCTCCACCCGCCGCTCCGCTGCCCCGACGCCGTCGGCCGGGAGACGTCTGCGCCTCGCCGACCCCAGATCCGGGTGGAATCGCGCCGCGCTGTTCGGGCAGGCACGGCCGGGGGCAGGAGGCATGGCCATAGGCTCCGCGGGGCCGGAGCAACAGGCAGAGCTCCTCCAGGGACGGGGAGAAACCGGAATCGAGCAGAAAATTAAAGCTGCCCAAGTTTGCAACAGCTTCCTGCTGGTTTCCAACTTTTGGTGCCATTGAGGTGCTTTTTGTTTTGTTTTGTGTTTTATAAATTCTCTTGCTCTTGAAAAGGCACATAATGTTTAACGGCCAAGTGATCGAATTTACCTTCCTAGACCTAGAGAAATGCAAAATAATGGCAATAAAAAGTAAAGGCTAAAGCCAAACTAGGGAATGTCGAATCACCCGAGCAAAACCTTATTCTGGGGGCTGGGGATTTAGCTCAGCGGCATAAGTGCCTGCCTTGCAAGCAGCGGGTCGTGAGTTCGATCCCCGGTACCGATAAAAAAGAAAAAGACAAAAAAAAAAAAAAAAACCTTATTCTGGTATTTTGGTTTTCCACTTTTCTTGAGGCAGTTTACTTTAAAAAATTGTTTGTATACTTCATTGTAATATACTACTCAAAGAGCAAAATTAATCTCCTTGCATCTCAGAGATGGCCTTGGTGCAAAATGCTGGTCCCGACTGCAACCTAAGGTCCTGACTGCTGTGGCTACAGATCAAGAGCTTGCACGCACAGGAGTCTTTCGTGGTTCTGCCTTTCATCCACTGTAGTCTACACACAGACACATGCCTAAAGTCAGGACAGATCAAACACATCATCAAGACATCAAGTCTGTATTTCAAGGTCTGTTTTTAAAAGGATATTCGACCTAGGAAATTAAATTTCAGGGGCCGGGCGTTTGGCTCAGCAGGCCTAAGTGCCTGCTTGGCAAATGCTGGGTACTGAGTTCGATCCCCAGCACCAAAAAAAAAAAAAAAAAAGACAAAAGAAAATTAAATTTCACCTTAGCCAAGTGAACAGAGAGCCAGACTTAAACACTTTACGTAAATACAGACTATTAGACTTGCTGTGAAATTAAAATTTTAACTCTAGAAACTAAAAAATTAAAGATTGAAACATGATATGCAGAAATGTAAAATGACTTCCAGGAAAAAATGATAAATTTGCATCCTCTAATATATGTATATACATGAGTTTTGGAGAGACACAAAACAGTAGAAAACTAGATAGCTGGGAAGCTTCAAGGCTCTGGCTCCCTAACGAAGGATCCACTGAGACTTTTGAAAATATCTTTCAAAATGGTCATCCGATATGTTTTGACCGAATTGACCTGTTACTTGATGAAAGAATCACACTGACAGCACACAGACACAGTCACAGTCTGCTTGTCTCTCCAATATTGAAGTCACCCCCTGGCACTTAACAGGTAGGTATTTAAATAAATGTAACAGATCAATAGTAAAATGTGTCACACATTGAGTAGAAATTAGAAAATAAGGAAAACCGACAGTGTTCAGTGAGAAAGCCCTATGAGTGCCAAGAAGGAAACAGGAAGAAAAAATTCCAAGCCTGACCCTACAGCTACCTAAAAACCTTTTCATAGTATCAAGAGACCATTTGCCAAGCAAATATTCCTACATCTTAAGTCAAACAAAATGCACACAGCAGCTACTGACCTCATGAAGGTGTTTAAAGGAAGAAGTTACAAAACCAAACATGGATCATGTTACAAAATCCCAGTTCATTAAATCAACAAGCATTTATTCTCTGCCTGCTCTATGTAAAGATGCAGGAGGAGGGAGATACTGAGTTGAGTACAATATGATCCTTGCCCTCAAAAGGCTTATCATCTAAAGGCATAGTGAGCTCTGAAGTTATGAGACATGATGGCACACACCCCAACCCCAGCACTGAGGCGGAGGCCATAGGATCACAAATTCAAGCCTAGCCCTAGGTTCCACCTTTGGCCCCACAGAAAGAAAAATAATAAAAGACAAATCAATTTGTATTCAAGTTGAGTTAGAAGTAATATAAAGGTATAAAAAGGCAGGGTTTATCTTCTCTGGGAAATTGCAAGACTTTGCAGGAAACGAGGGCATTTAGATGCACCTTACAGAATGAATGAAAAGGAGCTGGGACACACCTCGGTGGTCAAGCATGTTCCCAAGCCCTGGCCAAGGCCCTGAGTTCAACCCCTAGCATTGAAAAGAATGCTCTTCCGGGCTTGGAGGTTAGCTCAGAGGTAGAGCAGATGCCTAGCATAAGGGAGGCCCTAGGTTCATTCTGTAACACAGAAGGGAAGAGTGCATGAATAACCTATTCACACCCCTTAAAGCAGCAAATCCAGACCATCCTAAAGGAATAGTGAGATGATGAACCATTTTGAGAATTCAAGGACAGTTACCACATAGCTGAGAAGCAAACCACAAAAACCTAGGAATGGAAGCATTCAACTTCAGGGAGAAAAAAAGAAAATTGTTATCTCTCCCATGCTACTGTAACACCGATACTACCCTGCAAGCCTATCAGCCAGGCTTTAGGAACTGGGGAACAAAGGAAAAAAGAAACCAGTAAAGGCATGTTTTAGTTCCAAGGAGTGATACTGCAGTCAGAATGCTAGGCCAACTTCTAAAGGCCCTTCTAGGGAAGGTAGGGTGACCCAGCATGCGGGACACATCTGCTGAAGAGCTGCAGAGACTGGGTCAGGTCTCTCCTGTCTTCAGGGCACCCAGAAGAGTGCTTAGCCTAGATATTGGTAAGTGATGAATACACAAGAGAATGCCACCTACATTACTGACAAACATGCAGACTGCCTGGCCCAAGCAGTGTATTATGCCTAGCGCCTGAGGCCCAGAAGTCCCTAACGACTTTATAATCTCTTTGGGCAGACAGTCACATACACATAGGAATAAACGATACCAACCGAGAAGCACCTGCTGCTAATCTAATGCATGAAGAATGGATCCCTAGTGAAGCTCAGGAAGAGCCATTAACCAAGGTTCCTTTCAGAGCAAGCCAGAGAAGTATGGGTAGGCATAGGACCGTCACCCAAAAGACTAATTGGAAATCAGCATAAAGCACTACAGGCCCCCTCCCACAACAGCTGGGAAAGAGCTGCAGAATTGCTCTCAAGGCTTTCTGGCCAAGAAATAAAATAGACTTGCTCCTTGAGGAAAAAAAAAAAAGTAGGCCCCAAAAGATCCTGAGATCTGCAAAGCGCGCCATCTAGCGGACAGTTTTCATAACATCAGAAAGCTCATTTTGGGGGGAAAGCTGTCCAGTTAGAAGACTTCAGGGACAACAGGTAAAAGAAGGGAAGGGAAGGGAAGGGAAGGGAAGGGGATGGGAGGGGAGGGGAGGAGTGTGGGGGAGGGGAGAGGAGGGGAGAGAGAAGGGGGGAGGGGAGAGAGAAGGGGGGAGGGGAGAGAGAAGGGGGAGGGGAGGGAAGGGGAGAGAGAAGGGGGGAGGGGAGGGAGAAAGAAAGGAAGGAGAAAGAAAGGAAGAAAAGAAAGAAATTAGAGAAAGAGAAATAAATTGAAATAAATTAGCCCATTAAAATTACCAAAAAAACATCTAGATGAAGCAGAATGCCTCAGTGACATCTCTGCTGTACTCTAAAATGAACCATGCAATGCTCTAAACTGATCCACACTCCTCTGGGGCCTGTTCACGATTAGGATGATCACAGAAGCACGGTCCGGTCCGTAACAGTCTGGAGGCCTCAAAGTCCCACCCATCTGAACAGTCCTAAAGGGCCGGCCAGTTAAGAGCTGTTTTTAAAGTCACACTCATAACGAGCATTTTAGAAGTCTGATATTAGCGTCTATTAATTGCACGTATTAATGGGGTTTCAGAGTGATAATTCCACCCATGTATATAATATGCGTGATCAAATAAAAACTCCCCTTTACCCCCCACCTTTCCCAATTTCACGCTCCTACATTTGACTCAGTGATTTTTACTTTCCACATGTGAGAGAGCATGCATGTCCTTCTGTTCCTGGCTTGTTTCACTTACTGCCCTAGTTTCACCCATTTTGCTGCAAACGACAAGAGTTCATTCTTCTTGTCAGTGAATAATTCCACTGCGTGTGTACATGCCCATTTTCTTTCTCCCTGTATGTGTTGGGAGCTACTTTTTTTTTTTTTTTTTTTTTTTTTGGCTGGGTAGCTCACTGTTAAGAAAACTGGGGTTGCTCAAACTCCAAATGGAACCATGTATTAACTCCATCT